TTGCTGTGGCCTTGGCCCTGGGGCGCCTGCTGGGGACGGTGTTTGGAGGGTTTGGAAGGTTTTGGAGGGTTTGGAGGGTTTGGAGGGTTTGGAAGGTTTTGGAAGGTTTGGAGCGTTTGCGGGCTGGCAAACGGCAGCTTTGAAAGCCCATAGAAAGCCATTGCTGTGCCTTGGCCCGGTGGTACCTGTTCGGGGGAGGAAGTGGCCTTGGGCCCTGGGGTGCCGCTTGGGGACGGTGTTTGAGGGTTTTGAGAGTTTGGAGGGTTTGAGGGCTGGCAAAGGCAGCTTTTGAAAAGCCTATAGAAAGCCATTGCTGTGTCCCTTGGCCATGGGGTGCCTTTGGCGGAGGAGGAAGTGGCTTGGCCTGGGGTGCCTGCTGGGGACGGTGTTTGGAGGGTTTGGAGGGTTTTGGAGGGTTTTGGAGGGTTTGCGGGCTGGCAAACGGCAGCTTTGAAAGCCTATAGAAAGCCATTGCTGTGGCCTTGGCCCTGGGGCGCCTGCTGGGGACGGTGTTTGGAGGGTTTGGAAGGTCCTGGAGGGTTTTGGAGGGTTTGCGGGCTGGCAAACGGCAGCATTGAAAGCCTATAGAAAGCCATTGCTGTGGCCTTGGCCCTGGGGTGCCTGTTCGGGAAGTGGCCTTGGCCCTGGGGTGCCTGCTGGGGACGGTGTTTGGAGGGTTTGGAGAGTTTTGGAGGGTTTTGGAGGGTTTGCGGGCTGGCAAACGGCAGCTTTGAAAGCCTATAGAAAGTTATTGCTGTGGCCTTGGCCCTGGGGCGCCTGCTGGGGACGGTGTTTGGAGGGTTTGGAAGGTTTTGGAGGGTTTGGAGGGTTTGGAAGGTTTTGGAAGGTTTGGAGCGTTTGCGGGCTGGCAAACGGCAGCTTTGAAAGCCCATAGAAAGCCATTGCTGTGGCCTTGGCCCTGGGGTGCCTGTTCGGGAAGTGGCCTTGGCCCTGGGGTGCCTGCTGGGGACGGTGTTTGGAGGGTTTGGAGAGTTTTGGAGGGTTTTGGAGGGTTTGCGGGCTGGCAAACGGCAGCTTTGAAAGCCTATAGAAAGCCATTGCTGTGGCCTTGGCCCTGGGGTGCCTGTTCGGGAGGAAGTGGCCTTGGCCCTGGGGTGCCTGCTGGGGACGGTGTTTGGAGGGTTTGGAAGGTTTTGGAGGGTTTTGGAGGGTTTGCGGGCTGGCAAACGGCAGCTTTGAAAGCCCATAGAAAGCCATTGCTGTGGGCCTGGCCTGGGGCGCCTGCTGGGGACGGGTGTTTGGAGGGGTTTGGAAGGTCTGGAGGGTTTTGGAGGGTTTTGGAGGAGTTTTGCGGGCTGGCAAAACGGCAGGCATTGGAAAGCCTTATAGAAGACATTGCTGGGCCTGGGCCTGGGGTGCCTGTTCGGGAAAGTGGGCCTTGGCCCTGGGGTGCCTTGATGGGGACGGTTGGTTGGAGGGTTTGAGGTTTTGGAGGGGTTTTGGAGGGTTTTCGGTGGCAAAACGGAAGCTTTGAAAGCCTATAGAAAGGTTATTGCTGTGCCTTGGCCCCTGGGGCGGCAATGATCCCTGCTGGAGGACGGTGTTTGGAGGGTGGTTTGGAAGGTGTTGGAGGGTTTGGAGGGTTTGTTGGAGGGTTTGGAGAGTTTTGGAGGGTTTGCGGGCTGGCAAACGGCAGCTTTGAAAGCCTATAGAAAGCCATTGCTGTGGCCTTGGCCCTGGGGTGCCTGTTCGGGAGGAAGTGGCCTTGGCCCTGGGGTGCCTGCTGGGGACGGTGTTTGGAGGGTTTGGAAGGTTTTGGAGGGTTTTGGAGGGTTTGCGGGCTGGCAAACGGCAGCTTTGAAAGCCCATAGAAAGCCATTGCTGTGGCCATAACGGCAGCTTTGAAAGCTCATAGAAAGCCATTGCTGTGGCCTTGGCCCTGGGGTGCCTGTTGGGGCAAGTTCCACACCTGCGGTGGTCCCAGGCGCCGCCCCGGCCTTGGCGAAGGCCGGGGTCGGCGGAAAAAGACGCTGCCACGGCCTCAGGGACTTGTTGGAGCTGCAGGAAAGGTCTGCCGCGGCCTGAGTGGCGCCTGGGAGCTGCAGGGAAGGGTTTGGGGAGTTTTGAGGGCTGGCAAACGGCAGCCTTGAACCTCCATAAAAAGACGCTGCCACGGCCTCAGGGACTTGTTAGAGCTGCAGGAAAGGTCTGCCGCGGCCTGAGTGGCGCCTGGGAGCTGCAGGGAAGGGTTTGGGGAGTTTTGAGGGCTGGCAAACGGCAGCCTTGAACGTCCATAAAAAGACGCTGCCACGGCCTCAGGAACTTGTTGGAGCTGCAGGAAAGGTCTGCCGCGGCCTGGGTGGCGCCTGGGAGCTGCAGGAGAGGGTTTGGGGAGTTTTGAAGGCTGGCAAACGGCAGCCTTGAACGTCCATAAAAAGACGCTGCCACGGCCTCAGGGACTTGTTAGAGCTGCAGGAAAGGTCTGCCGCGGCCTGAGTGGCGCCTGGGAGCTGCAGGGGAGGGTTTGGGGAGTTTTGAAGGCTGGCAAACGGCAGCCTTGAACCTCCTTAAAAGGACACTGCCACGGCCTCAGGGACTTGTTGGAGCTGCAGGAAAGGTCTGCCGCGGCCTGAGTGGCGCCTGGGAGCTGCAGGGGAGGGTTTGGGGAGTTTTGAGGGCTGGCAAACGGCAGCCTTGAACCTCCTTAAAAGGACACTGCCACGGCTCAGGGACTTGTTGGAGCTGCAGGAAAGGTCTGCCGCGGCCTGAGTGGCGCCTGGGAGCTGCAGGGAAGGGTTTGGGGAGTTTTGAGGGCTGGCAAACGGCAGCCTTGAACGTCCATAAAAAGACGCTGCCACAGCCTCAGGGACTTGTTAGAGCTGCAGGAAAGGTCTGCCGCGGCCTGAGTGGCGCCTGGGAGCTGCAGGGAAGGGTTTGGGGAGTTTTGAGGGCTGGCAAACGGCAGCCTTGAACGTCCATAAAAGACGCTGCCACGGCCTCAGGGACTTGTTGGAGCTGCAGGAAAGGTCTGCCGCGGCCTGCGTGGCGCCTGGGAGCTGCAGGGGAGGGTTTGAGAGTTTTGAAGGCTGGCAAACGGCAGCCTTGAGCCTCCTTAAAAGGACACTGCCACGGCCTCAGGGACTTGTTGGAGCTGCAGGAAAGGTCTGCCGCGGCCTGAGTGGCGCCTGCGAGCTGCAGGGAAGGGTTTGGGGAGTTTTGAAGGCTGGCAAACGGCAGCCTTGAACGTCCATAAAAAGACGCTGCCACGGCCTCAGGGACTTGTTGGAGCTGCAGGAAAGGTCTGCCGCGGCCTGAGTGGCGCCTGCGAGCTGCAGGGAAGGGTTTGGGGAGTTTTGAGGGCTGGCAAACGGCAGCCTTGAACGTCCATAAAAAGACGCTGCCACGGCCTCAGGGACTTGTTGGAGCTGCAGGGAAGGTCTGCCGCGGCCTGAGTGGCGCCTGGGAGCTGCAGGGAAGGGTTTGGGGGGTTTTGAGGGCTGGCAAACGGCAGCCTT